TGTGGATACATCTATACCAGTTACCTGTGTCTCAAGGAAGAGACGAGAAGTGTTAAAAGTTTAGAGCCAACTTTTAAAAGGCTCTGGAAATTGTGAGTGAGACTCAAATTTTCCTCATTTTCTATATTGTATATATACAGGTTACACTATGTATATTTTATTTACCTGTATACAGGTCACAAGAACAATTTAATGTGTATGATTACCTGAGACATTATTTTAATATAAGGTAACACTCATCTTATTCTGTGTGCGCTAATCACCCCTTTCCTTTCTTTTTTATTATATCCAATGTAATGAGCTCCGCAGGGTTATAGGAAAGGTTTAAGCATTACAATTAGCAATCGCTATGCGAAAAGATTGTAACATATCGGAACCATAGGACAGAAATAAAGCAAGGTATAACGGAAAAACAAGTAACACCAGCTGTAATGTGTTATTCTACATCAGTGGCCTATTTGTGGGGTACCGGAGCCGCTGTCAGAAAGGGACTTTTGGTTCACAGGTGATCTGTCGTTGTCATGGTACCTGTGCTGGTACACCTCTGGCACGTGGAACAAGGGGGGTCACATTAGCCGGTTAATATGTGTGCAACGTAGTCGGTCCTTTATGGCCATGGCAGACACGATTCTCTGATGGGTTTGGAGTTGGTGTACAGAGTCCTGTACTATCGACAAGTTAGCTAGTGTGTCCTTAATGTCCCCCTCTTCGACCCTTTCTCGTTCAGTGACTGGCTGCAACTCCTTTTTAAATATAGCAGAGTCTGCAGCCAGTGTCTAGTGGATATCGGCCAGAAGAACCTTCAGGTCTCGCTTTGTGGTCAGGGCTGAGACGTCGGAGGATTTCGCAGGTATGGTGTGTATTGCCTGAGAGTATGACGGCACCTTCACTTCCCGGCCACTTAGCTTGGGGTTGGCCTCCCGCTGATCTCCTGCTGGCGTTGCTCTCGGCTGTGCAGGCCTTTGCAACATGGCCCCAATGTTTCTGTTGTCTGATCCAGAGGTGGGTTTTTGTGATCTGCTGCCCATTGCTGGCTTGCAGACTTGTTTTCACAGTGGAGCTCAAAGAAATAGCTTCTGGTTAGTTCTGCAAGCAGGTTGCTCCCACTTCAATTACCATTTAAGTGTAAGCTCATAAGCAAGATGAATTGCTAGTGTAGAACTCACCTAAGAGGTTTTGCCTTGACGTGGCAGATGAGCTTACACTTACATTGCAATTGGAAAAATACTAAAATAACTCAAGCTATTTAACTGTGCTTTGGGATTTGGGATAGCGCACCAGTAATTCTTGATTTCACCCGGTTTCCTTTTTAAGCTCCCCAGAATTTGCAGCCTCTGCCCAGGAAATGGACTGGCCAATCAACATTCTCAATATTAATATAAATAATTGGCTTCAATGTTCACCAGATTGTTTATATATCACGAGCTGGGGATTGCTTGGTGATCCGAGACAAAGAACTGAATGAACAGTGAAAAAGGAAAATGGCTCCAGGACACCCAGTAAAAATCCGAACTTTATCTCAAGTAATTAAAATAACGTACAAAAAACCCCCTAGGTATCGTAAGCACATTCTATGTAAAGATGCACAACGCCTCATTGTCACAAGGTTGGTGCCTAGTACGCTTTATGGAATCGATAGTTTGTTTTTTACTAGACACCTTAGACCCACAATCAGGATGCTCACTTACCTTCCCGTAACCATCCTGAGTGCTTCTAGGCTATACTAACTCCCAGAAAGCTATTGCAAACATTATATATAGCAATATATTTGGAACAAAAGAGTTTCCAGAAAAGCCTGGGTTAATCTATTCAATGTGAGCGGCTGGATTCATTCCCAGTCGATCACATTGCAATGTTCAGCAGACATCATGGGGCTGCCACAAGGTTTACAGAGCTACCTCCCACCACAGGCTTGATGACATTTTATTTTACAGTAATATGTTTCCTCTGCCATGGAGTTAACTGCTGGGTTGGGGTTAATGGTTCAGCACAATCCAGTGAGACTAAAGCTGTGGGCACCTTGCTGCAGGGGCCCCGATATATACATATATGTGTAGTCGGGGCAATATAGCCGCGATGAAAAAGGTAACATAACATATTATAACCAATAAACATATATTTAAATTGACACCAGTCGGTTGTGGTGTGCCGGGACCGACAAAGCAGTAGTAGGCATGTAATAAAAGTGGGCAAAAAGAAAAGTACCATACAAAATGTATTCATATAACAAAACACTGTTTATTTGGACAAGTCACGAAAAGCTTGTCTTAACTATTTAACTTGGTTTGGAAAGTAAAGAGTATAGGCGGAGGATTTCCAGCTTCCCATAGCCTTGATGATATGAGCTGGAATGTGGTTGGAGGAAGCTACAGATGCTGCACCTATACGGAAGGAGTGTCCTGAGAAAAGGTTTGCATTTAGGCCGAACCTAGTTAATAGTAAGCGAACTTAAAGGACCACTCTAGGCACCCAGACCACTTCAGCTTAATGAAGTGGTCTGGGTGCCAGGTCCAGATAGGATTAACCCATTTTTTTTATAAACATAGCAGTTTCAGAGAAACTGCTATGTTTACAAATGGGTTAATCCTTCCTCCAAATCCTCTAGTGGCTGTCTCATTGACAGCCGCTAGAGGCGCTTGCGTGATCCTCACTGTGAAAATCACAGTGAGAGCACGCAAGCGTCCATAGGAAAGCATTGTAAATGCTTTCCTATGCGACCGGCTGAATGCACGAGTATGTTTTCCTGGCACTATAGTGGTCCTTTAAAGCATTCATTTAGATGTTGTAAGTATGGAGTCATGGAGTTCTAATACTGTTTGGTGGGGTTGTTTCGGGAAAGTGATGAAATATTTATCCAGGACACCATTTGTTTTGAGTAGGGAACAGAGTAATTTTGACAGTATGTCCTATAGCACTTGTTTTAGACTGATGCAGGGATAGAACATTATGATCTAAGGTTTCCTGGATATCAGTAGTTTCCAGGTAATCAGTGGCAGTTATATTTCTAGCAGTAAATTAATTGGGACGTAAGAACCCATAGAATGCTAGGTATATGGCAGTTTTGATTAACATATTGGTCATGTGTTCAAAAGGAGCTGAATCTAATAAGTTGGATAGTAAATGAAAATGTCGTAGGGATGGGTAGCCTTTGAGATGGTAAGTGTGTATTAATTTTTACATTCCTTTCAGTAAGGTCTTTACCTTATATGATGAAAGGAATCCTGTATTGTTGGGGTGTCGTATAAGCATGTGGTGTTGGATGCCTGTAAGGTACAGTTTAATTGTGTTAAAAGATAATTTCAGGTTAAGGTGGCAAAAAGAAGTGAACCCCAAATAGATTCCACACAAACATGTCAGGAACTCGAAACTCTGCTATAAACTTAGTGAAAATGTGAAAAGTCCTATAGGATGATTTCCTAGTGTTTACTGAAAGGTGAGAAACGTGACATGCATGGTTTAACAAGACATTTAATCCATGAGCATGTCTTGGAATGACGGGGCAGGGGTGGCCAGTCTGGAGGCGGTGGGTGTGAAGGAGCTCTTGTACTTACATATATGCCTTCAGTTATAGCTTCTCCCTGCTCTCCAAATACTTGTGAAGCATTGTTTAAGTATGTGTTAAAATTGTATTCGTCTCCCGAACGAGAGACCACCCGCCCTGGGTAGCAATCAGCAGTAGAACGGGGAGAAAACCGCAACTTAATTGCTACTAGGTGGCCGCCATTCGGCATACGAACACGTGGCGAGAACAAAGGATGGCGGCCATCTTAAAACTCACGAACGCGGTCTTCATGGAAGTCCTGGATGTATACGTTCCCCTCCACGAATCAAACTGGCATTCGGTAGATAGAATCTACCGAACGAGGGGAACATCCGTATGTAACCAGCTGCACCATACGAACGGTGGTTTTCGTGTAGTTAGATTGCGAACAGAGACCGGCTCTTGCTACTGATTCTATGGAACTCTAACTCAGATACCTCCACATGGCGAGCCGGTCAAACTTCCACATGATGCGACACGGAAACTACCAAACGGAAATTCGTGAGATTTGGATATGTGACTACCAGTATCCTCAGCTACCCAGGGATGTTAAAATTATATTTGTATGTCTTGTAAAAAGTACTTTTCTGAAATTGTTAAAAACTGTAATATTTCTGGCCAGCAGATAATTGAGCTTTGTGTATTGTAGAAACTCAATTATCTAGCCTGGCCCAGAGGAGGAGTTCTGTGTGCCAGTAAATCAGTCTTGTTCCACCATTAAGCTTTGGCTCATGTGTGGATTATTGGCGATTACAGCAATATTTCTTCTTGTGGATTATTGGGATTACTCTGCTATTGGGAAAAGGAAAACTAGACGGTGATATTGACTACTACCGTCACAACTGGTGGCAAGCGGCGGGATTTTCCCTTCTTTTTCCCTGCACAGAGGATTCAAGGACGGCACTAGTGTAGAGTGCATGGAGGGCAACGCTAGCACTTGTGCAGCGACCCTGGCTTCAGAGGAACTCAAGGGATAGAGCTAGCTATGGGTAGCGTCCCTATCCACAGCAACATGGAAGAGGAGTTGCGCTGGAGGTTGCAGCAGCACTTGGCCCAACAGGACGGGCCTGTATCAGAGGAGTGCATACTGGACTGGAGAGATGTAACTCGTACGGAGATGTGGCACGATGCCCTGGAAAAGGTACAGAGGCGGCGGGGAGAGAGCCTTCCCAGTGACGAGCAGCGGTTCCAGGTACTCGTGGCCCTGCACTCCCCTTTCCTAGGGGAGCAACCCTTGGATGAATGGATGTTGGAACTCTGGGATTTAATTTGGAAGGAGTTGTGGCTAGATGCAGCTTATCGGGCATTGAAGTGGTACGCCACCCAGCGCAACCCATGGATGACTAACCACTATCTGCCCGACGGAGAGGATTATAATGGCCTGGGCTTACTGCCCTTTGAGGAGGGCGATGACTTTGGATGCCCCACGGAGTTTCAGTTCTGGGACATCCACAACATCAGGGAAACCCTGCTGGATCTTCCCCGAGCAGACAACCTGGGGCCAGACCTGATTCATCTGGTCAAAATGGAGTGGGCGCTGGAGCAGAACTACCAACGCCTGTTCAACTTAGCCCAACCACCGTCTCTCGGCCCAGGGGATTACCTGGACACCATACCCTCTTCTGTCCAACCAGCCCCAGAGGTGAGCAACCTTATAGAACGGTCCTGGGAAGACCCACAGATGGCAGGTGGAGATGGAACTGAGGTCTCTCCACCGGTCCCACAGGGATGCTGGGTAACCGGCCCAGATCCCCGGCAGCAGTGCATCTCACAGGCAGAGGAGACAACCGGTCTCGCTTCCCAGCGGCAGCCTGAGTTCCAGGATTTGGTGATGGTAGATCCCTCCCCCGTACAGCAACCAGCGTCCTGGGGAGGGGAGGCAACCGGCCTCCCTCTTCAACAGCAGCCAGAGATACCAGAGGTGAGGTACCTCATAGACTTGTCCGGGGGACACACACAGATGGCAGGTGGAGATGGGACCGAGGTCTCTCCACCGGCCCTACAGGGATTCTGGGTATCCGGCCCAGATCCCCAGCGCCCTGGGGAGTGGGGGCAGCCGGCCTCCCTCTTCTACTGCAGCAAGAGGTACTGGGTGAGGGGGAGAACAACCCTAACCACACTGGCGCAGATGGGACCACGGTCTCTGTGCCAGTCCTACAGGGATGCTGGACGGGCGGTCCAGATCCCCAACTATCCCTGCAGGAATACCAGGAGGAAGAGGTAAGCAAGCCCTCCCTTCCACAGCTACAACCCGACCAGGTCCTGGGGGCAATGAATGAACCTGCAATACACACTGACCCACTGATTGTAGAAACTCAATTATCTAGCCTGGCCCAGAGGAGGAGTTTTGTGTTGCATAAATTGTGAGTTCTGTGTGCCAATAAATCAGTCTTGTTCCAGCATTAAGCTTTGGCTCATGTGTGGATTATTTGGCGATTACAGCGATATTTCTTCTCGTGGATTATTGGGATTACTCTGCTATTGGGAAAAGGAAAACTAGACGGTGATATTGACTACTACTGTCACAGTGGGCAGTGTCTGGAAGAAAGCCTGAAAAACGAAACCAAGACAAGTGGTCAGCTGAGATGTTTGTGAAACCTGGAACGTGAACACATGTGATAAAAATTGGCAAGTGGCCGCTACCCATGTGAGTTTCCTCAACAGTCTCATGATGACCAAAGATGAAGATCGGCCTTTATTCACAATGTGACAAGTGGCTAAGTTATCTGAATAACATCTGACCGAGTGACTGGACCATTTTGGTCCCCAGGCAATGGCAGCTGCCACGATCAGATTCAATTCAAATAAAGCTGAAGTAGCGGAGAAGTTGGGCAGGGACTTAACGTCTGTAGGCCATGACCCCCAAAGCCATTGATCACCCCAGATGGCTGCAAAACCAGAGTTTGCCACAGCGTCTGTCCAAAGGGTGGGTGAAATGTCAGGTGGGGGGGAACATGGCTCGCCCATTCCAAGATGTGAGAAGAACGTCACATGAGCAAATCAGAGGTTGCGTGAGTGTCTAACGTGATACGAGATGCGTCTGTGGTAAATCGTGGGAACAAAGAGAGTAAACGGGAAATGAAGGATCTACCCTGCGGGATGATTCTTATGGCAAAACTGAGCGACCCCAACAGCGATTGAAATTCCTTGTGGTTGCAAGAACCCAGTTACAAGTAGTGTTTAATACTTGATAGTGTGCCCTCAATCTTGTCCTGGGAAAGGCAAGCTTGAATGTGGATTGAGTCCAACTGGATCCCCAGAAAATCGCATGATGGTATCAGGACCTAAGGTCTTGTGAGGGAAGACTGGGATAGTTAGGGACTCAAAAGAGCCAACATGTGTGTAAGGCTGCAAGGGGGGAGTGCATTGTTTCAATCATGAGGAAATTGTCCAGATAGTGAATAACGGATGGACATCTGCACACATTAAGCAATAACCAACACAAAGTTTCAGCAAATGTGTCAAAATTTTTAGGGCTGCTCTTGGAGCCAAAAGTGAGTCGTGAGAAAAATTAATAAAGCCCTCGCCACTTAATGCTGTGCAGATACCATAGTGAAGGGTGAATGGGAAGTAATTTACAAGCATTTACAATGTCTGTTTAACTGAGCCATGCACTTGTACCAGCCGCCAAAATGGCACCAATGGCATTGTCTATAGTGGCATATTGTAAGGAACATTCTTCGGAGGGAATGAGGGAATTAAGGCTGGGAATAGTGGAGGAATGTGGTGCCGATAAGTGAATGATAAGTCTGGGTTTAAGTGAAGTTTTCCCCGTGACCACCCGTATGGGGTTGGTTTTCCAAGATGTGAAAGGTGGGGAAACAAAGGGCCCCAACAAAACCCTTGCTCTACGTCAGATCTTATCAGTGTACACACTAACTCTGGGTCATTTAAAGTGGTTTGCAAATTGTTGCATACTAGTTTACCGGTTGGCAAGTGTACTAAACCCATTTGGAACCCCTCATACAGACCATCGATGATAAAATTTAACCAAATGATGTGAGGGATGGTGTTGCAACAGTGCTGCCAATAACGTGACGTTGATGCCAGTGTGGTAAGGTTTAAGGAAAACTTTATTTGGGTACATGGATTTTGCATGAGCCCGGAAACAATGGGAACACACGTGTAATAATTCACAAGAACTAAAACCACAAGTACCCGCATTAAAATTATTGCAAATTTGTGATTTGCCGAGAAAGATGATGTCCCTACCCAGCTTATCCTTCAGGATTCTGGTAGGGCTAGCTGAGTTTGGGACAGAGTGACCCTGATCAATTTCTGCCATATTAGTGCAGAAGTTAGTACTATGTGCGGTAGATGCACATACTAGGGATCGACCGATATTGGATTTTTAAAGCCGATACCGATAATGTGTGAACTTTCACGCCGATAGCCGATAACTTGCCGATATTCTGTACATTTACCATTTTGAAAAAAATAAACTATTTCTAAACGTAAATGCACAAAATATACATGCCACATGTAGTGGATGCTGTGTGTTTAGACAGGGGAGCTGTGTGTGTGTAGTGGATGCAGTGTGTGTTTGTGTAGTGGCAAAGAATTATGCTATTGAAACGTGACAGATGAGTCCCTGCTAATTGCCAAGCGGCGTGAGAGGGGCTACCTATGCGTTGGCCTGAGGGGAGATTGAGGCCACCGAAACGTTGTGGCGGGGAGGCGGCCTCTCGGTGATAACTAAAGCATAAGATAGAATGGGAGTGACATGAGAGGCCCTCTCTACGCGACCATGCGAGGCGGCTAACTATGATTTAAACCGAGGGACGTATACCTCCCAGTATGAGGATGGGTGTTGGTCTCGCGGGACCACTAGCTTATGGATTAAGACCAGAAACGGAACCCTAGTTTGACAACCTAACTCTCAGAAAAGCCAGTACCACTCTAAAATAGAAAAGGTACAGGGTTATAACATCGTACCTGATAAAGTTTGAGTCAGGCTGATGCTAAGCAGGAAAATATGAACGAGAGGGTGGCAGTAGATGACGTGCTGCAACCTATAGATAGGATGTGAATGAGTATGTGTGCGTATAGATATATGTCAGTGGGCCAGATCGTGGGCCCGAATTAAAATAAAGGAACCTATCAGATACTATCGGTGTGCAGTGAGAATATGACAGAGGCAGATGATGTTTTTTTTGTTCTAGTAAAGCAACCGCCTGTATAACCAGGGCACCTAAGGAAAGTAAAATGTCAATGCCCACCAAATACTAAGTTATAGTACTAAAACCTAACATAGTAATTTACCCACATTACTAATCTAATAAGGAAAATATTGACAAAGTTGTCGCAAATCAAAGTGTTTGAAAATCATAAGCTTAATTCCCGTAATGAAACCTGTGGAAACAACATCATGACAAAAGTCAGCTGTATATAGATATATTAAACCAGTCTAAATTATATACTAAAAGCCACAACTCATAAGCACCTAATTGTAACTGTAATATACTTTATTACCAATAGGAGGCATCTGACTTAACAACCAGGCCAAGCAGTTGAATTTGTGAACAGTCTCATGGCTATTAAATACTGCCGAACGGGGAGGAACCCCCTGCATAGAATAACAGTTTAAACCTAATCATTCGTATGTTTTGCAAACTTGAAACAAATTTGTATGGAAAAATGACTTAAAGGGACACTATAGTCACCAGAACAAACACAGCTTATTGAATTTGTTCTGGTGAGTAAAATCATTACCTTCAGGCTTTTTGCTGTAAACACTGTCTTTTCAGAGAAAATGCAGTGTTTACATTACAGCCTAGTGATAACTTCACTGGCCACTCCTTAGATGACTGTTAGAGATCCTTCCTGGGTCATGGCTTCCTAAAACGCATCCAAACATTCAGTATCTTCTCCCTCTGCATGCAGACACTGAACTTTCCTCATAGAGATTCATTGATTCAATGTATCTCTATGAGGAGATGCTGATTGGCCAGGGCTGTGTTTGAATCATGCTGGCTCTGACCCTGATCTGCCTCTTTGTCAGTCTCAGCCAATCCTATGGGTAAGCATTGTGATTGGATCAGGCTACCACTTCTGATGATGTCAGCAGACTGCTTGTTTTTTTTTTTTGAGGCAAACAGCATGCAGAGTTACAGCTTCTGGCTTGAATACAGTAAGATTTTGCTATAATTATGGAGGCATGAGGAGCCCAGGGGGGGCTAGATGGTGGTTTTAACACTATAGGGTCAGGAATACATGTTTGTGTTCCTGACCCTATAGTGATCCTTTAATGAAACATACGAACGTACAGAGTAGAGAAACGAAAGACTGTGTTCGTGCGTTTAAAACATGAAACTAACACATATCAAGCTGTGTTTAAAATTGACGAAAATTGTAACGAACGCGCCTGCAAATAGACGAACGGCGATGCAAGTAAACGGACAGAGAATTTAACCGAATGCCCATTGTAAACGAAAGCCTAACCGTGAAAGCATGTCACGTTTGCGATTGTTGCCTTACGGTAAGGATTTTGACTTACGGTTTTAGAATCACTAACCGTGCCGAGACCGGGCTGCGAGGACCCTGGAAGGGGCTGCGGGTTAACAAATTGTTTGAAAGCGGTTAGGTAAGCGTTGAACCGGAGCCAGGACCACGAGGGACAACAGGTAAGAGAAACAAGATGACTCGCCAGACCATCAACGGTAAGCCCTTTTAAAGGGAATTCAAGCCCCTCCCACAAGGCCTTAACATATATATATATATATATATATATATAACATCCCAGCATCGTATGCATGGATTGCAGTATT